AAATGTTAGTCTTTTGATAAATTACCCTATTGGTGCACAAAAAAACTGCAAAATCGAAAAAATTAATACAAATGTTAATTACAAGATTGGGAAGCTCACCAGGCTGCAGCATGAGCAGTATCAAAACCACCTGCAAAATACCCAAATTTTGCAATTTAAGCAAAAAAAAGAAGTTCAAATTAGATTGTAATTTCAAAAGCAAACAATTTTTGTGATGAGAAAATTGGAATAATAAATGAAAAAAGAAGGAAAACTAACCTAAATAAACCTGTTTTCCACAGTCCCTGATACAAATGGCAACAAATGAAAGAGGCTGAAAATTGCATGTGAAAGGAGAGTAATTTCTAAATACAAAAAAAAATAAAAAATTGAAAAACTAAATATTTATTTTAATTATTATTAGTTTTATTACCATATGTGCGACTCCCAACGGCCGGTCCTCCGGTAAAACGTCACGCCTCGGTACTGCGAGCTTCTCGACCGGGGCCCACGCCGGCTCTTTTTCAGCGGCGGCGGCGGCGATCTACCCGGCGCGGCGGCGGCGGCTGCGGCGGAGCCGTGCTCGGGCCGGCAGAACTTAACCCCCACCCAGTGAGCCGCCCTCGGGAAATCGGCCGCCGTCCCCTGCTCCTCCACCGGAAAAAACTGCCTGGTCACCGGAGACGAGCTCCGGCCCCCACCCAGCGAGAACCCGAAGAGCCTGCCGCCGGATCTCCCAGCGTCCTCGCCGTCGGAGCCGTCCTCAACCATCGCCGCCGACGAGCCCGAGTTCGAAACTGACCCGACCCGTTTCCCTTTTTCGCCGGAGCCGCCCTCCGAGTCGTCGTACCTCGTCCGATCCGGCGAGCCGTTGAGATCCCACATTTCTCCAGACAACATAGGAGATGAAAATTGATAGAATACTAAAAAAGGGAGTCTTTTTAATGAAAAACTAAGGAATATAAACTGGGTTGCTTCCTTTTTTTTTGGATTTATTTTGGGTTTGTGAATAAATTCTGTATCATATCATATCTGCACAGTCTCATCAAGAAACAGAGCNCTGCAAAAGTATCTCCCTTTGAGAGTTGCAGAAGATTATGTATCTATAGATTATATAGCCTCTTAAAAGAACATAAAGAAGCTATACCTAGATAGCCATAGGCTTCCCCAGAATAATAAAACAAATAAATAAATCGATTTCCAAATCGGTCTTCAAACTGTTCGACTAAATGCCTACAAAGCCTATAATAAACTTATTTATATCCTGCCTCTCGAGGACATAGAGAGGGTGCTGTATTTTTAAATTATTAAAAACCCTTTGACCTAAATAGTTTCTATTTTTCAATTTTATCTAAAATTCGGGTATTGTATTATGTAGGCCGGGGCGTAGCCAGAAATATATTCTATCTTGGGCTGCTAGAATCGAGTTGTTAGAGAGTACAACTCAATTCGGCTCGTATAAAGTTAATCTCGACTCTTTTATATAATAAAATATATTAAAATTTAATTCAAAAAAGCGAAGCTTAACTGATTACACTCAATTTATTAAATGATTCGAGCCAAACATGCACATTTATTAAACGAGCAGTTCGAACACGACGTATTCGACTCAATTGGTTTTAATAATATAACAACTATTATGTGTAAAAATTCAAAGTATGATGTTTTCTTAGTGTTTAATGTAAATTACAAAATGAATGAAATAAATTATTAAAAATAAGTCATGTTGTTTTAGTAATTTAAAAACACATTATTTTATTTTTTTAGGTGTATATATACGGGGATCGATCGTATTTAACACAAACTTGGAGATATTTTTTTTTTTGATGTAGTAAATTTTTATTAAAAATAATAATACTGCCGCGTAATTTCTTCTTGTCTACTAATATGAGACGAACGTTTTATTAGGCATATCAACCCAACATATTTGTTATATGATGTTTTACTTAAATTGTAGAAGTCCAAATGTCATTTTATTGAATAAGCATCTTAACCCAACATACTTGTTATATGATATTTCACTTAAACTGTGAAATTTCAAATGTTGTTTCATTGAATATGTTACGCAAATCAAAGAAATTAGATTACATATTTTGTATATTCAATTGTCATTTATTTAAAAGTTAACAAGTAATTGTTATATTTCACAAAATTTCAAATGTTGTATCATTGAATATGTTACGCAAATTAAAGAAATTAGATTACATATTTCGTATATTCAATTGTCATTTATTTAAAAGTTAACAAGTAATTGTTATATTTCACATATAAAGTAATATAAATGATATAAATTAACTGTCTTAAATCAAACAATGAAAAGTGAAAACAAAGAAGAAAAAAAATGACAAAGTAAAGTTGTTACTACAAAAGAAAACATATGGAAAGTTTGAGTAATATAAAAAAATATGCATAATTTGTTGGTTATAAAATAAATTTAAATTAACATAGACTAAATAATTTTATCATGAATTAAATTAATAAAACATGGACTAAAATATTTTTTTTTTACTATTACATATTTAGAAAAAAAAAAAATTAAGATCGGGCTGGAGCCCGGGTGAGCCTAGCCTTGTCTACCCCACTGATTGTAGATCAAGGTTTTTTAAAATTGATAGATACAAACTAAAAAGCACAAATTCTTGTATGAGACAAAAATATGAATGTTGCATATAAGAGTTTAAAATCAAGATAAAATATAGTTTTTTGTATGAGACGTGCAACTTAACTGTCAGTCAGTCAGGTCAACCTATCATACTATGTAAGTATGTATATAATTAAATGTCATATTTTTCTTAAACTATTATATAATGTAATAAATTAAGTATATTTATAAAAAAGAGTATATAACAATTTAATTGTTAAACTAACTTAACATGTGAAGATAAAAAAGGGGCCGTGGGGGGTGGGGGTTCACCCTATTGAATCAAGTCATAAATACATGAGAAATTGATTTTTTTTGGGACTCATTCTATATTCATATATATGTGTGCTGGCTGGATGTTTAATTTGGTTTCTTTCAAATTTAATTAGCTGTTTATTCTCTTCTCATCTTTTTTCTTAAAAAATTTCTAGTATAGTAACTAGTAATATGTTTTCAAGTACTGTACTGTACATGGGTTTGTTTAGTAGATTTGCTTCAAAATGACCTCAAAATATCTTTCCAAGCTTGGCCTGTTTGTTTATTATACATTCAGATCATATTAAGGAGAAAACATAGAAAAGGGAAAAAGAAAATGAAAGGACCATACATAATACATTTCTTTGTTACGCAACTTTCCGATGTTAACCAAATCGAAAAGCAACTCTCTTCATATTTCTCTCCTCTTTCCTTATTTCTAATGTTATTTTCTTACCCCAAACTTTAACCAATAACGGAAATAGACAGCACCAACACAGGGTGGATGACTCCTTACTCAATTGCCTTTATTAGAAACTGTAATAATTAATTTCATTTCATTCATTCAAGTCCGCATCACTACAGCCACACGTAATGTTTTGTGCTGTATTTGTTTGATGTACTATTTATTATATACTTAGGTCGTGCTTAATATAAATATTAGCAATCTATCACGTGCATATGCACGGATTTACATAAAATAATTTAAGTAGTATGTCTGAATTTTATATTAAAATTCTAGATAATAAATATATTACATTTCAAGATTTAATCATTAGTAAAAATAATATAATATAAATATAAATTATTTAAGTATATATTAATCACTATATTTATTGAAAAAAGTTTGTGGTTAATGTAATTTTTATAATTTAGAGGGATGATGATCAAATAATTTAGTTAAATTATTATTATTATTATTATTATTATTATTATTATTATTATTATTATTTTATTTTTATTTTTTTTGCCAGAACGATAGGGATATTATATAACAAAATCCACACAAAGTGCGAATAAAAAGCAGTCAAAAGCTGAAGAGTACAACCAAAGGCTGAATTAAACTGAGAGGACAATCCGAGAATTGCCTAGAGCCTAAACTAGCAACGCTAGAAAGCAAACTCGCAACTACCAAATACAACAACACAAACACAACAAAAAACCTACAAAAACGATCCCAACGGGATAATTCACTAGTGTACGATCCCAACAGGATAATAAGTACACATTCGGGCGAACAGAGGCCAACGACCCAAACTGAAAACACAAGTCCTAAACAACACAAACACAAACGACACAAAACGAAAGACAACAAAGCAAAACTAAATAACAACATTTAAAGCCCTTCCCCGGCAAACTAACAGGCCCAACCGGCAGAGAAGCAATCAATCCAGAAGATTCCAACGTCCAGGCACCGCTACCGAAACTGAGAACCCACCTATACAGAAGCCGAACCCGAGTCCCGAACCAAACTTCGAAGACCCGCCTCCAACTGAGAGAACAACGACCCCAGCACCCCACCCTTCAGAACCCGAACCCAAGTAACACCACTAGTCAGGCTCGGGTGCTCCGGACCCCACCCGTTCCCAACACTAGAGACGCGAGGGGGTGAGTGCGGGACGGTCCAACAACTCCAACGACACAGCCGCCAGAGCCCCGTCCCACCCGAGAACCCAAACACCTCCAACACCACTACAGACCGTCGGCGACCCGAGCCCCAAGCTCCCCCCACCCGAAAAAGGCCGAGGGGAGGCCTCCAGATACAGAACGGAAGCAGAACAGAGGGAGAGGCTTACCAACATCAATTGAAGACCTTCCGGTGACCGGGAGGAAGACTCCGAGCACTGATCGAACCCAGACCGCTGGCTTACCAACTCCATCCGCAGACCTGCGCTGCACTTGGAGGAAGAACTCCAATGTCAGACGAACCACACCGACATATGAGATGAACGACTTCAGGAATGGGCCGAGCGGTCGAGGGCGACCACCGGCCGGAGTCACGCCGTCACCAGGGAAGACGAAACGATGGAGCGAGAGGAGAGGAGACGACGGATTTTGGGATTAAGTTTTCGCTTTTTTCACCAGAGGAGAGAATATCGATATGTATTATTATTATTATTATTATTATTATTATTATTATTATAGCAATAATCGTTCATAATATTTTAAAGTGATTTGACTATGATATTAAAACTATTTACTATTTTTTTTAGAAAAAAATGTTTCTTTGATACAAAAAAAAAATAATGAACAAAAAAATTGCAATAGAATTGTTTATAGTTATGTAATTTGTATTTGTGTGAATTATCATTAGTTGATATTAACATTAACTATTATATAATATAATGGCAAAAAATATATGATTACACTTAATAGAGTGTATTAACGAGAAAGGTAAAAAAATATTAATGATAGACTTTTGTAACCGAAATTGGAAGGAAACCAGAACATTTTTATTAATTGTTTTGCTAGAAATTACATACACACACACACACACATACATATATATATATATATATATATATATATATACATATATCAGTTTAAAATAATTTTTTTAACAAAAAATTAATTTGCAAAAAAATTTATAATTAGTTGTTGGTGGGATTTCGGGTTTATATTAATGTAATATTTTGTAAAAGTAGGAAAGAGATTGTGTGAAGTGATGGTTAGTTAAAATTATGTGAGTGCATGAATACTGAATTAAATTTGATGTTATGTGTAAGAATGATCAATTGTTATTAGTTAATTATATTGATAATGTTAAATATAGTGGGGCTGGACCGATGAGTAAGATTTTGAGTATGAATTAAGTATGAATTGAAAATTTCTGTAAGCAAACGCTCCCTTACAATATTAATCGATCCATACTTTTTCATACACACATTCGGGTGTGTGATCTAATGGTTGACCTCAATATTAGCACTGTGACACTAATGATTGATATGACATATGATACAAACCACTCGATCTCGTATAACTTGAGAGCAAATCAGAAGATTGGATGTGATCAGTAGCTCGATTGGT